TAACAACCCAGGAAAAGCTGGAAGTGAGCAAAACGCGCGAAATGCATCTACTAAGCTTCTTCCCCCCCTCATGTTTATATTTTCTCAGCCAATCTAAAGGTCTTCCAAAGGTCAGGTGGCAACACGTCTGGCAGCGTCATCCATCAGGAATGTCGAGACAGTTGGTCAGCCGTCCCCTTCTGAAATCCAGTTTCGATTCCCACGAAGTCCCCTCCTACAAAGACAAACCCCCTCCTCTCTTCCCCCCCTTTGCTCCATACCTAATCCCTCCCCGTTTCTTATGGCAGCTAAAGCAGAAAAGCTGAGGCTGACACTGACTATGTACCTAGTGCAGCCCGAGTCCAGTAAAGCCAGCATCCTCTCTTGGTCTCTTGAAGAGGGCACCACTAACTCCACAAGGAGAGTTGCAGGGGTCATCCACCAACTTACCCAGGGGTTGTCATTGTCGTCGCTGTTAGCCTCACCCAAGTTTGTCGGAGTTCCCAACCCCTCAGAGCCAGGAGGGTGAACTCTATGACATCCAGAACTTTCAGTGCTGCCTATTGGGTCCCTTGGAGCTGGTTTTTTTGCCTCCTCCCTTCAGGTTGCCATGGCCCTGGGGTTGGGTCTGCTGGATTGGTATGCTGCAACTCAGTGCCTCTCCTGCCCATGTCTGAGGTACATCGTGCTCCTTTCTTACGTGTGGAAGGGAAGGACTGACCTTGTCTGCTGGCTCTCCAGCATTGGTCCCAGGCAAGGTCGATCTCCCCTTCTGTTGCCAACACATACAACACATTACAAGCATTGTAAGGGTCGTGGGGTCCCGTGCAAGATGCAGGTATAGTAAATGTTATCACTGAGGCCATCTTTGAAGCAATCAATGAAGAAGTTTTCAGACCATGTGGCCAACCAGCATGCCATCTTTCGAAACTCCTGGATGTACATGGGCACCGACTGTCACCCTTGGGTGATGATCTTTATCTGGATCCTAGCCTTGCATTCAGTCAGTGGGTCCTTGAACCATTGGTGAAGAGCTGTCATAAAGTGGTCATAGTTCCACAGTTGGGGAACATTTCTATTATGGAGGGAGACCATCCACTTTGCTGCTGCCGCATCCAGGCCCATGGTTACTCATCTTATCTGGGCTTCTGCCATCTCCAGTTTGGCCCCATACTCCTGTGTGTAGTTCCAGACTTGCACCAGGAAGAACCCCAATTGCTCAGGGTCTCCCCCATACTGCACACCCAAGGCTGGGACCTTTGGGGCTTGGTGCCTTCTAGGAATGGTCCCTGCAGGTGGAGTGGCTTGCGCAGCTTGGTCTGGGGTGACCCAGGGATCTTGAGACGCTGCTTGTGTCAGAGGCCCTTGGGCTCTTTGACTCCCCCTAATTTGTTGTATCAGGAACAGAGCCTGGTAAAGCATGGCTTCCTCTGGGCTTCTCTTCAGGGGGGTCTTCCCTTTGCCCCATGCCCCTCACCCACCTGAGCCTGATGGGCTTCTCGCTGAAGTCCAGTTCTTCTTGCCATTCTGCCTCACCTGGAGTCTGGTGTGGTTTAGTGGGGGAGCCGGCCATAGCGCCAATTTCCTTCAGCTCACTCCCATGGTTAGACATTGGATGCTTGGTCCCCATGGTAGATTGCTGTCTCCTAGTTGACCCTAAAAGCAGAGCTTGCTTAATGTCAGAGCTGCCTCGGTTCAGTTCCCAGGAAAGAAAAATCCTTGGCTCCATAGATTTAGAGAAAGTTACTTTTACTAGGAACAAACTGAATGCAAACAGTTTCAAGCAAGCTGAGGCACCTGAGCAGGAAACAGCATAAAGATACAGTATACAGCCCAGCCCCCTTGTAGCTAGGCAACCAGAGGCCACTGCATACCAGAGCCAACTGACAGTGTGGCCTTGAAGCTAAAATGAACTCAAACAATAATTCATTAACAATGTTAGAGCAGATCCTAATAATCTGTATTACTGATTGAAGAGATTAAATCAGTTTATAATGCAGATATATAATGCATCTTGGAGAAGGAATTTCAGATCTACTCTACTGTTACCTCAAATTTCTATAGGTTAGACCAGGGGTCCTCAAACTTTTTGAACAGGGGACCACTTCAGGGTTCCTCAGACTGTTGGGGGGCCGGACTGGCTAGGTGGGTGTGTCGGGGGGGGCATGTGACTGGGTGGGTGTGGCTTGGTGGTGATGTGACTGGGTGGGTGTGGCTTGGTGGTCATGTGACTGGGTGGGCGTGGCCAATTTAGCAGTCCATTTTGCCAATTTAGCAGTCCATTAAATAATACATACAAATGAAACTTTAATTTGTTTTCCTCCTGGGAGTGTTCTATTTGCTTTTGTTTGACCACTTCAGAAAACTCTGTTTTGCAGCAATTCTTCTCAGCCCGAAGGAGGTTACAATCGACATTCATCCATCTCTCTCTCTCTCTCCCTCTCCCTCCCCCCCTCTCTTTCCTAGAAGAGCAAATGGGGGTGGGGAAGACAAATTGATGAATCCCATTCCATTTCATTCCATTTGCTCTCTCCCTCCCATCTCTCTGTCAGGAAAGTTTGTCTCCTACAAGAGCAAGTGGGGGTGGGGAAGAGAAACTTTGCTGAATCCCATTCCATTTGCATCACAGCAGTCTCAATCTGCTTTTGGAATCTCGCTGGCCGGAGCTTCCTCCATATGTGCCGAACCCGTGCAACAGGCTCGGGAAAGGGCTCCGCACATCTGGCAGGCAGAATCGGACCAGGAAGGGATCACTTGGAGTGGATGTACTGAGGAAGCCCCAAGACGGGGGCTCAGCAGTGCTGATCTGCTGGCCAGCCAGCCCTTCCCACCTCCCTCTCCAGTGACGGAGATGGATGTCCTCCTTCAGGCAGCCGAGCGGGAGAAGGACGGGCAGCCAAGTGGCAGGGGGGAAGGCAGCGGCTATTGCTATGTCCACTCCCTAGTTTGCTCAGGTCTCACCAGCCCCACTTTGGCAACAGGGACACTAGCTCAGAACGCTAGTGGGGTGCAGTGGGGTGGGGTGGGGGGCTGCAAGGCAAAAGGCTCCCTTTAGTCCAGGGAAGGGACTGCAGCCTTGGGGCTCTGTCTGAAGGAGCTGTATCACTCGGGCAGCACCCCGAAAACACTGTGGTGCTGCTACCTCGCAAGACAGGGTGGGGCGCTGCTCTCCCTGCCAAACAGCCCCAGTGAAGGAGGCATATTATCATGGGTCTCTACCCCTGACAGCTCCTGGATGGCAACTTTGCTGCCACTCAGCAGACCTGTGCAGCCCGAAGGAGGTAAAGAGGCCAGTTAGAAAGGCACGTTCCTCTTGTGCACCACCGAGGCTGTCAGCAGCTTGCACAGGTCCATTAGGCTGCAGCCACCACGAGTGGGGAAAGCCAGATCCCCATCAGAGTCCTGGCTCCCCAGGCCCAGCAGAGATGCGGGGGAAGAAACACAATCCCAGCTGGGCTTGGGTGGCCATAGCGCTGATGGGGATCGAGCTTTCCCCACTCGTGGTGGCTGCCTTTTGCCTGCTGGGAATTGGCATCTTTTTACCACTTCTAATCAGCCTTTCTAGTTGGCTGCTTTGGCTCAGCGATGGCACTGGCCTAATGGACCTCTGCGAGCTCCACAGCACTCTCAGGGCACTGCCCAAGTGACACAGCTCCTCCTGCAGTCCCTTCCTTGGACTGAAGGCAGCCTTCTGCCTTGCAGGCCCCCGCCCCCCGCTGAATCTCCATTCCAAGCTTGTGCGCCTGTTGGCAAAGTGGGACTGGTGAGAGGTGAGCGAGCTAGGGAGTGGGTGCTGCAATAGCCACTGCCTTCTCCCTTCCCCCCCACCTTCATTTGGCTGTCCACTCCTGAAGGAGGACAGCTGTCTCCACTACTGGAGAGGGAGGGTTGCAGCCAAATTTTGGGTAGCTTGTGAGTAGCCAGGCTTCCTTCTGCATGAGCAGGGGAGTCAGCAGGGCGCTACCCGAATCGGTGCCTGAGACTCAAAGCTCCTCTTTCTCCAGCCTTGGGGTGAGTGCCGCTTCCTACCCCACCCCCCTGCGATGCTTCAGGGAAGCCCAGCCAGGCACCACGTGTTCTGTCTGGCAGCAGATGGGGAAATGCTGCGCTTTCCCCCATTTCCTGCAGGGTCTGTTGGCAAAGCACCCCTCTTGTGCACCCACTGCTGCAGTTGGGTGTGCAAGGGGAACATGCTTCATGCACAGGCCAAGGGCAAGACCTACAAGGGGGCCAAGGAGATGACCAGTGGTGACCTGATCTCCAACCACAAGCCAAAAGAGATATGAGGGAGTAGGCAGCAGCCACCCCACACTCTCCTCACCTTGTCTTCCCCCACAGTGGGAGCAGTAGCCAAAGACAGAGGCACAGGGGAGAGGAATGTGGTCCCACAGGTTGGATGTGTCGGACAATCACGTGCTTGTCCCAGCCACATGGGATGGAGCAGGTGTGTGATCCGCATCACATGCCTCATCCACCCCTGCCCCTCTGTCTGCTGCCAATGCAACAGGCCTGTTTCTTGGAGGGCCAGCTGCAGAGTCCCTGCTGCCCATGCCCTCTGGCAGACGCAGCAGATGAGGCACCTCTTCCCCAGGCCCCCGTTAGCCAGGAAAAGCCAGCCATGCGAGGAGTGGGTGGGAGTGGTGGAGCAGGGGCAAGGCAGGGCAGGGGCTGAATGCCACTACTGTGAGGGCCAGATACATTGTGTCAGTGGACCGTACCCAGCCCAGGGGCCATAGTTTGAGGATGCCTGGGTTAGACGATGAATCAGTTTTTATTTCATTTATTTATTTATTTTGTCAAATTTATTTTCCACCCTTCTCATAACTGAAAACAATCCTCAGCAGCAGAATTAGCTCTATGAGTTCAACCCCAGTACTTTTAATATTTGCAATATACTATATTGTGATTAATGTCAGAGTAAATTTTAGAAGTCATTTAGACCAACTATCTCTGATGGACAGGTATACATCATATTATGATAGATAAATATAATCTTTTTCAATTATTATTTTTTTACTTAGGGAAGCTCAAGATTTTGTAGAAAAATTTGAAGGTGCTTTGGGAAAGGGAAAAGGAAACAAGTTATACGCATATAAGATGGTGTTGACAAAGGTAAGTGATCAGCATTATTTATAAGATGTTTATACTATTGAAATATAGAAGTCTGTACAACTTATATTAAAAATGAAAATACTGACATGAGTTTCAAAACCTAAAACTCAATGTTTGGCAGGCAGTAAATCTGAAAACTAACTTGGATAGATACATCTTTAGCACTGCATTCCCTCATTCATTCTAAACACTTTAAAATCTACTCTTCTCCCCAACTTGTTAACAAAAGAAATGGCAGTTGTGGGCAGAGTACAAAGAGTGTTAATACTAAATAAAATGAAGAACAGGGCAGAACTATAAGTTGTCCTTTCCCTGCCCCCACCCCCATTTAATTATGTTGTTAATAAATATTTTTTACCAGGAGTATTTTCTGTAAGAAAACAACCTTTTGAAAACTTTTGAATATTTCTGACTTCAGGTGGCACCGCAGGTGCCGAGGACGCTCTTTTCTTGAGCACCAGCCCTGTGATCTTATAAAGCCGCTAGAACAGCACAAATCAGCTGTCTAGCAGCTTGAAAACTTTCTTCCTGGGAAAAGGGGAGGAAGAGAGCAGACGGGCATAGGTAGAGCTCCCCAAGGAGCCCCAGGAACAATTCTGGGGCTCGAAGGGTGAGAGCTCCCTGGAAGCCCAACAGAGCTCCGGATCCGGGACATTTCTGCTTCAAGCAAAAGAAGACGCCACGACTACCCCTGCAAACAATGCTTGAATAAACATCATTCGGAAGCAGGCTGAGCAAACTCAGGAGAGATTAGATCTGCAAGTACTGAACTTTAACTCCAAATGTGTATTACTTCCTTCTGACTTATTAAGGGGAGAAAGTGAAACCAAGAAGGCGATTGTGCTTTATTTTATTTTTTTTAAATAGTTTTTATTAAATATAAATATTAAAAAAGACATACGTAACATATACACAACTAACATTTATACAACATATACACAAAAAGAGTATAATTTCTTCTTAAGCATTTTTTCAGAGTGACGTTCTACAATTCTACTTATAATATATTCCTTCACCTTTCTGTAATCTAATAATATTTTTATTACATATATATGTATCAATCAGTAATATATCCCCTATATTTTTTGTATATTTCTAATTTTTAACCAATTATACTAATTATTCCATATTTTATAATAGTCTGATTCTTCTTTTTCTTGTAATTCTTTGGTTAACCTATCCATTTCAGCGCATTCTAAAATTTTCCCTATTACTTCTGTTTCACTTGGTATTTTTTCTTGTTTCCAATTTCTTGCGTAGGTTATTCTTGCAGCAGTTAATATATGAATTGTAAGATATTTGATATCCTTAGGGTATGATTTGTTAAATATTCCTAATAAAAATGTTTCTGGTTCTTTTTCAATCTGTGTTTTTGTTATTTGTTCCAACCATTTTTTGATGTTAGACCAAAATTTCTTTGCTGCCGGGCACGTCCACCATAAATGATAGAAAGTACCTTGTGCCTTTTTGCACTTCCAACAAATTGGGCTATTTTTAGGTTGTATTTTTGCCAATCTGGTTGGAGACATATGCCACCGATAAAACATTTTCAGTTGGTTTTCCTTGTACGCCGTTGCTTTCGTTAACTTTAGGTTTACCTGCCAGAACTTTTCCCATTTTTCCAAAGGTATTGTGTGTTTGATATTTTGAGCCCACTTAATCGTTTCTTTGACTGTCTCTTCTTCCAATTTATAGCGTAGGAGAAATTTATAAATTCTACTAATTAATTTATTTTCTGAATCTAATATAATTTTATCTATTTCTTGTTTTTGATTATAAATTTCATATGTTTTTATATGCTCTCTATATTTGGATTGTATTTGAGTCTAAGTCCACCAGTCTATTCCTCTGTGTAAATCTGTCTCCAATTGTTGTTTTGTCTTTAGTTTGCCTTGATAGTCAATTATATCTTTATATCTAATTATTTTTGTCTTATCTGTTAAATTTGGGTGTCTAATTGATTCAGCCGGTGCTAGCCAATTTGGTATCTTCATATAATGTTGTTTTTTAATTTTAAGCCAAATTTGTAATAGTGAGTTCCTTATTGTATGTGTTTTAAAATATGAATGTGTTTTGTATTTCTCGTCCCACATAAAGGAGTGCCAGCCAGTTTGAAGTTCGTGTCCCTCAATTGTTAAAGTTCTAGAGTCCTTTAATTCTATCCAATCTTTGACCCACGATAGTACTGCTGCTTGGTAGTATATCTCCCAGTCAGGGAGTGCAGCTCCTCCTCTATCTTTTGTATCCTGAAGCAGTTTAAATTTTATTCGTGGCCTTTTCCCTTGCCAAATAAATTTAGATGTTATTTTATTCAGCTTTTCAAAAAACGGTTTATCTATTTTAATTGGGGTGACCTGAAACAAATATAAAAATTTAGGTAATATAATCATTTTGATGGCCGAAATTCTTCCTAGAAATGAAATATGTAAATTTTCCCATTTTTCTAAGTCTTTCTTTGTTTGTTCTAGTAATTTATCATAATTGTTTTCTTTAATTGCTGATGTTCTTGTAGATAAGCAGATTCCTAGATATTTTATTTTTGTTGTTGTTTGAATTTGTATATTATCTATCAAATCTTTTGTTTGGATTTCCGTTAGGTTTTTAACAATTAGCTTCTATTTACTTTTATTAATTTTTAGTCCAGCCACTTCTCCAAATTCTTCTATTTTTTGGAACAAATTAGGTATAGATTCCATAGGATTTTCTGTCAAAAACACTAAGTCATCAGCAAAGGCTTGAACTTTGTATTCTTCTCTATTAATCCTTAAACCTTCAATTCCTTGATCTTCTCTAATTTTTTTCAACAGGGTTTCCAATGATAGAATATATAGTAAGGGGGAAAGTGGACAGCCTTGTCTGACTCCTTTTGTTATATTAAATTTGTCTGTTATGTCATCATTCATAATTATCCTTGCTGATTGCTTGGTATAGATTTCTGCTATAATTTTCCCAAATTTTTCCCCAATTTGCATATTTTGTAGTTGTTCAATCATAAATTTCCCATTTTGGTTATCGAAGGCCTTTTGGGCGTCAAGAAAAACCAACACTGCCTGCTTCTCCGGGTGTGATTCATGGTATTCTAAAGCATTAAGTATTATTCTCATGTTGTTCTTTATTTGGCGTCCCGGCAGAAATCCATTTTGGTCTGGGTGTATATATGTATTTAATACTAATTTAATTCTTTCTGCCAAGAAAGAATGCAAATGCTGCAAATATTTTGTAATCGGCATTCAATAATGAAATAGGTCTATAGTTTTGTATTAACTGGAGATCTGTGTCTTCTTTTGGAATGAGTGTTATTATGGCTTCTGTCCATGAATTTGGTATCTTGGCTTTCTCCATAGCTTCATTATATAATCGCAACATATTCTCTCCCAATACTTCTTGCATTGTTTTATATATTTCTACCGGTAGCCCGTCGGGACCCGATGTTTTATTGTTTTTTTGCTTTTTCAGTACTTCATCTAGTTCTAATTTAGTTATTGGCCTATTGAGAGTAATTCTTTGTTCTTCTGTGATTTTTGGCATTCCTGATTTCTCTATGTACTGTTTTATTTTATCTTCCTCTATTTTCCCCTGATTATATAGATTCGCATAAAATTTCTTAATAATATCTTTTTTGGCCTCTTTACTATGTTGAATTTCTCCTTTATCATCCTTCAGTTGGTATATCATTCTTTTTTTCTGTTCTTTTTTCAGTTTATAGGCTAGCCATCTGCCCGTTTTATTTGCGTGCTCGAAATAGTTTTGTTTCGCCATTTTTATTTTTTGGGCTAGTTCTATTTGGTTTATCAAATTCAATTTATGCTTAATCATTTCCCATTCTTCTCTTATTGTTTTGTTCTGGGGCTTTTCCTGGAGTTTTTGTTCTATTTGTTTTAGGTCTTTCTCTAATTTCTCTAATTGTTTTTTCTTCTCTTTATTCTTTTTCCTCGTATATGCTACTACTAGGCCCCTTATATATGCTTTTAAAATATCCCATGTGTTTTGTAAAGAGGTTTCCTCTATTTTATTTATCTGAAAGAATATTTTTACTTCCTTTTCTAACATCAAATTAAATTCTTTTTCTTTACATAATCTTTGGTTCATTGTCCATCTCTTACGTCTTCTTTCCCCTTTCCAGTTTATGAATAGTGGATTGTGGTCTGCCCATTGGTTTGTGCCTATCTCAATTTTTTCTACTTCTGTTTTGATACTTGGGGTCATCCATGCCATGTCCAGTCTTGACCAGGAGTTATGCGGATGGGAGTAAAAGGTGTATTGGACCTCTTCTTCATGTGTTTCCCTCCATACGTCTGCCAAGTTTAGTTCTTCAGCCATAGTAAAGAATTCTTTTGGAAGTATTTCTTTTTTCTTTTGTTTTTTTTCCCCAGTTTTGTAGTCTTTCTTTGCATCTACTATTGCATTATAATCCCCTATTACACAAATATCATCATATTCTAATTCTGCTAATTTTATATGTAGGTCTTTAAAAAAAACTTGTAGTTTTTGGTTAGGTGCATAAATCCCTACAATTAACATTTTCCTTTTTCCTATTTCTAATTCAACCATCACCACTCTACCTTGCTCATCGGTATAAACTAGTTTAGATTGTATTTTTTCTTTTACGTAAATCACTACTCCTTTTTTCTTTTTTGGGGCCAGAGATAAACGTAATTCTCCTAATTTGGGGTTTTCTAGGATTTTTTGATAATCATTTTGAATGTGTACTTCTTGCAGACATATCACATCTGCTTCTAATTTTCGTAATTTTGTAAAAATTTGATTCCTTTTCTTTGGGGCATTTAAGCCATTAATGTTTACCGAAAAGAGTTTGATCTGTTCATCCATTGCCTATTGTATCTGTTTTTTGGTGTTTCTTGTTTCCATCCGTTCTCTAGGTTTTGCACCTTCTCTCTGTTCTCTCTCTTTTTCTTGCCTCTGTCTTATTTCTTTTTCTTCCTTTGTTTCTATTGGTTCTTCTTCTTGACTTTTACTATCTGTTTCCTCCTTACTTTCCT